TGTGCATACAATATTGTGTAAGCATGTGTATATATATAAAATTGTATATATTATAAATTTTATTTGTTGCATTGTGTCTACAGTTGTAAAATAAATGAAAAGTTATAGAAAACAACGATTTCCATGGGAAATTAATGATCGCGAAGCCTTCCTCCTATGACACCAACTATGGGCATCTGCGCATTCCAACCTACGCTCCATAAGCTCCCTTGTTGTATACAATTAACCCTGTAATACCCGAATTCTCCCCTAATAACCCATTAGCCCAATTTTTTTTCAAGCCTCGTATACACGATCACCCTACGTGTACTTATAATAAAAGTCTTCGAACTAAGAACATTTACATAACAAACTGCACGGTAAGAGTTGGACTAATGGTTCAAGTTATTACAGGGAGGCCGAAAGTACAGAACAATTATCGCAGTGATTAGAAAACTGTCTTGAAGTTTAAAGGTAATTGGTAGCGATTTAACTTGTACAAAAAAAAATTAAAAAAGAACCGTAAAAGTCAGCTTTATTTGAATGGGATATAATTGTTTGATCAAATGTTAAAACGGCCAGAAGGTCATAAATTATTCAAAGGAAAGCAGAACTTTTTACGGTACAAAATCACTTTAACCTTCTTTTGTCTTTCAGTGTTAAATTTTTGTAATAAATTTTGCTTTTTAACAAAGCTTCTGATAAAATAGTAAAAAAATACAAATAAATAAAATAAAATGGGTTTGCTCACTTGATAACTAAAAATCTAGGGAAAACTGAAGTAAAAGAGTTGTTGAATGTGTTTCATTATTATAATACTAAAATTATGGTGAAAATTAACTTATGAAATTGTGTTATCTCCAAGCATGTCAAACATACAGCGTCAGTATATGAGTATCTAATATTTTCAATATTTGAAGGAATTATACTCTCTCCAACACTAATCTTACTCAATATTGAAATTTCGGTTACGAAGTGAAGTACGTCCTCAACAGTACGCGAATTTCAAAGATTACAATTTCCCGAGTTTCCCTAGATCCATAATTTCAAGTGAAACAACTCAGCGAATTTAAAAAAAAAAAAAACCAGCGGAGTTCTGTCAGGGCGAGATCTTTACAGTTACATTTTCTAAGTCAAAAAATTCCGTGTCGTGTCTAAGAACCCTTGTAAATTTTCTAAATAATTATCCCGATGGAGGGCACTGATTTTATTTACCAGAACAAATAAATCAGTTCTCCAAGAGTATTTTTTCTAAAGTCAAGAATATGTCATGATCTGTTTCCGAAAAAGTGAGTCCAAGTCCCTTGTAAATTTTAAAACGTTCACTGTAGCATTTTCTAAACAATTATCCCGATGCAGGGCACTGATTTTAGTAAGCAGAACAAATAAATCAGTTCTCCAAGAGTATGTTTTCTAAAGTCAAGAATATGTCATGATCTTGTTCTGTAAAAGTAAGATCATGATCTTTTGCCGTTATCTTCCTCAGCCGCATGATCTTAAACAGTTTTCCTTCATGGCCTTTCATTGATTTTACAACATATTCAAAATGTAGTCTTAATATATAAATGAAAAGTGGTTTTCCTGTTGTTTTCTGATAGGGTGCGCAATTTTTCAAAAAATTGATAAGTAAATTTAAATAACCTCTTAACATGTCAATATCATGCTTGTATACTTCTGTCAGAAACAATGTCAGAGGGTTTGGTTTGATTTGCTTAGGAAAATGTTTAGAATATTTATTCATATTATATTTATATTAATAAATTTTTGTATAGTTGTCGATACAGTTGTGTTACAAGTAAGTACATGAGAGCCAGAGGTTTTTTTTATAGTATCTCTAATAGGGTGAATTAAGCCGTTTAGAATATCCTGTACATGTAAATATAGTAGAAAATGATTGGTATACTTACTTTAACTGCGATAAAAAAATTATTATCTTCACAACCGGCCGGTACACGTTCTCTTGTCAGATCGTGACCTATCCCTTTTCGATTACTACATTTTCTTCGATTGTAATGAGGACGATTAATTTTCGTCGGCAAGTCAAAATCCCGATTCTTTTCCCGAGAAAACAATAAATCTCGAGTTGCACAAACACGGCGATATTTAAAAAAAGGAATTAATAAATTGAAAGATTGCTACGTCGGCGGCTGTCAAAAGCGGCTACACATCAACCGAATTTATGTCAGATCGACCAAATGGTATTTATAGCAGAAATAATCAACTGAGGAGCCGGAGTCGTAAATGTCAAGGCACTCCTCTGCCCTACACCTCATTGCGACAGTTCGACTTGGTCGGCAACGCCCAAAAAAATTCGATCGGCCCTCACGGATCCAAACGGACTAAGATTTCCACCAAAGCTCGTGTCGAAAGATATTCGATCGCTGGTCCCATGCCAGAGCTGCAAAAAGAAATCTGGCACCGTCTCCGAAGATTGGCGAACAATCGGGCCACGGGGATCCTGGTCAAAACCGAAATTCAAACCAACACCGACCTCCAGGGCTAATCCATAGGGAGGGCACGGCATTATGTAAGTACATAAGGAATTAATGAAACCGTACAATAATAACAGTCAAACCTTAGTAATTGTCTAGGAAACCATAGAAAATTACGACTGCTTGGGAGTTTTACTGAGAATCGTGTAATAACGTACTTCCCGCCAGTATGAATAGCGCATTACGTCTTTTTTCATCTATCGCAAATAAAAAACTTCGCGATTTACCATTTTGATTACTAAAGAACCATTTATTGCAGGTTCAAGGCCTGGCTATTAAGTTCATTACTGTCGCCAAACGAATTAGAAACATGCATCATTCTATAACGAGTCTCCTCTTTTAGAACAATGATATTCCATCAAAACAAAACTTGAAATTTGAACACATAAATAACTACATAATAAAAACGAAAAAAAAGACTTTAAGACTCCTATTCACACAATATTCATTTATTAATTCAACTTGTAAACAATACTTATCATAAAAAAATGACTTAACTAAGGTCTCGCCTAGTTTTGCTTTACATTTCCACACACAGTTTCACCCATTAATTACTATTATAAATTATACATTCCTCAATATAGTCAGCAGTAAATAAAGTCAAATTCGTATGTAAAACCTTTCATTTAACTTTTTATCGAGCTAATCAAGCATTTGAAACTTTCGGTTTGAAAATGTCCATCATTTTCAAAAATCAATCACAATTTTTATGCATTGACAGTCTATTTATAACATCCTGTCGGGAAGGATACAAATGAGGCCCAGCCATTAAAATAGCTAAAAAGTCCATTTTTCTTCAGAAAGACAATTTGAATTTATATATAATTTATAATATAGTATTTGTTAATTTTTTTAATTATATTTATTTGGGGGCGTCGGTAGCCACAATGGTTAAGACGGCACGGCGTTCTTCACTGTAAGGCAAAGGTCCCGGGTTCGAATCCAGTGGCGCTGCAAAAACTGAGGATTCGTCGTAATTGAAATGTATATACGAGGGTATTATATTTTATATACATTGCGATCGCAAATGTTATAGACCTGTGTAAATATTCTATTTTTTCTTTTTTGCTACTTTCTCTCAACTCACCATCAGGAATTGCTGTTTTTATTTATGTTTTAACTTTTTATTTATTTTTTTAATATTAAAAAAAAAAAATTTTCATGATAGGCTTCTACTCAAAATAAGCGTATTTAAACCTACTAATTTAAATGCAAACGCACTTTTTTCTAAAATTACAAGTTACAAAAAATGTTTTTACAACAGGCTTTGTTCGGACATTCAGAGTGGCTGAATTAATTAAGAAAGCTGTTTACAGCTGTAACTAATCAAATGAAAGTATTCCTCTCTCAAAATAATTATTAGCTAGATTAACCCAGGATAGAAGTTTAATACAAGGTGAGGACAAAAGAAAATTTCCTCAATTAAGGGCAGGCACCGGTGCTTCCTAATTACGCCCGTTCTAGCTTCATTAAGCCCAATTAACCGGAGTGCTTTATGTGAATTCGAAACAGCTAGTACCATTATGTCGAAGTTGAATATGTCCTCATGATGGGTGGGAAATGGTCATTGAAATTGCGTTGGGATGGAAGCACGTAGTTTCCAGAGAGCCGAGGAGAAAAAGCTCGTTAAATTGTCACCGGTTCCGGCCGGATATTTGAGGATTTGATTATATTTTTATTGGCGATCGATTGACCAAAAGGCGTATTAAGCAAAAGATGAGATTGACGTTGCCAGTGGGCGTAATGCAATTCCAAAACCAGTCCGAATGCGTTTTAATTCAGATGAAGTCAGTACCACTTATATTTTAAGTTTTTATCTGTATGTATTGACGTATTAATGTTTTGGTACTCTACTTAATACAGAAAGTCCAATACAATTCGGCTCATGTGATACTCTATCGTATAAAAACTCCTATTTTTGCTTGTATCTTTGAGAGATACTCGGACAAAAGAAATAAATATATGCTGTCTCACTTTTTATTTTGAAATGCCCCAGTTTGATACGTCGAGACAATAGGCACCTGTTATTAATGTACATATTTACTTTGATATTTTCACATGGCAACCTTTGTGGAGAGCTAGTTCAGATAAAATTATCTCTAATGCGGAGGATGGTTCTTTACGAGCATACAAATGTAGTTGGTCTGCCGGAAAATGTTTATAATTTGCCAAATTTATACATTCTAGAAGGTCAATGATATAGAGAAATGAAACAGCATACTTCAAACAGAAATAAGAAGATGGCTTGTGTCAGCGGATCTTCAGCTGTAAATTATAAGCAATTTTAAACATTCGTATCCGTTTATTCGTGTTATACGTTATAATAATAAAAATTGATATTAGCTTTGTATGTAAGTTCTCATCAAAAACGAACTTTTATAAAAGTATTTTAATTACGATGATGAAACTAAAAATGATGATCAGGAAACTTGCCAGAAGCCAATGATGCCAGCGAAACCAATTAGATTCAGTTGAAATCATAAGGAAAAAACTACATTAAAATCTAACGTGTCTATCTCTTTTACTGACCTGTTGAAAGTGAGAAAGTACACCACGTCCCTTATCTGCAATGACAAAAAAAATCAATTAGTCAAATAATAAATTATTTTAATAATTTAAAATTAAATAAATTATTCCAACAATTTAATCAAGGAGTAAGATCAAGAGATTTATGTATATAACATTTGTTTAAAAATTATTTGTATTGTTATCTTTGGATATTTTAGCTGAATGACGTGTGTCTTGACGTGCTCGGTTTGGTTTTACGAGTACAACCTTGTTTTGTTAGTATTTAAAGAGGGCGAAGAACTAATTAAATTTAATGTGATATAATGTGAAAAACGTGTGTCGCGACGCTCTAAAATAAACGGAAACACAGGCCAAATAGGCTTGTAACGGAATTTGGATTCAACGTCCCCAGGGCGATGCTCCTGTTGGCCAAAATCTGCTTATTTTAAGGTCGAACCGCGAGGAAACAGGAAGGCCTGTCTTGCAGAATAACCGCTGACTCGAAATGTGGGCATTCGGTTTCTTTGCGTTCCCCCTCAATTTAAAAAATTGCCTGTCGAAGGGAATTTCACTCTATATTTTTTAATAGACAAAAAACGAACGAATTTTCCTTCATACTTAGAAAATACTTCATGTCTTGTCTCAAAAACAAATAATAAATAAATCTAAAAAAAATGGAAAAAGAATAATCTAGCCGAAGGATGTAAAGTGAAAACTATTTTCTAAGCCCTGGAATATGGAAATCGGATGTTTCCTATCTTCAGCCGGACTAATGCGGGCGGTTTTGCAAACCACTTTGCGCCACTGTGATCCAAATCTACAAATCCACCCCTTAATTGCTAAGGAAAAGAGAGATACGCGTTGTTAACATATCAGCTGTTATTAGAAAGTAGCCACCGTTCTCAAACTGAATTAATCGCTTTTTTTGATCAATCGGAACATATCGATCCGTTTGATTTGACCATTAACAAGCTTTCTTGATATATTTCATAAGTTTTATAGAAATCAAGCTGACTTATCCTTAATCAAAGCCCACACGCTCCTTAAAACGTTCTAATTCTTTTAATTTATTTATATATTATATTGATTGTTATGAAATGACTACGACCATAGATAAATAGAACCAGATTTAAAATATATGATGCATAAAGACATTTAAAATGTACAATTTACTATTTCAATTTTCCATTACGTTTACTGCATCGAATTTCCTCCTTTCAAAATATGGATGGATTTATATAGACCAACTTACAGAAAAACTGAATAGTCAGGAAGATCAAATGTCAAAAAACTTGCTAATTCATCGTTTCAAACCCCTGAAAATAGACAAATCACATGCAAAAAGACAGCTTCAAAGCTTACCATTTTAATATTAACAAGTACGAATTAGTGTAAAGAATAATACAAAATAATAATCCATTATATTTAATAATCTACTGACCAAATTACTTCTTTCAATTAATTAATCTTTTTATGTAAGGTTTTGTTTGAAAGGAAAAAGCTAGTGTCACGAGCGGTATTCGAACCCACGACCTTTGGCTAAATACGCCGCTGCTCTACCACTTGAGCTATCTTGACTTCGATAAACCCGAACATCAACTCCTCACCTCAACCTACAACCTTTCGAATTTGCCCTCCTTTTTGCCATTTTTCAAATGTCGTGTAATCAGGATTCGATTCTCGGAGAAATATGAATTGGGCATGGGGAGTAGTTAGTGAAGTTATACTTGTTTTATTCATTAAATCCATTATATATAGTTGTCTATTGATCAAATTACTTCTTTGAATTAATTAATCTTTTCATGTAAGGTTTTGGTTGAAATGAAATAGCTAGCGTCACGAGCGGGATTCGAACCCACGACGTTCGGCTAAATACGCCGCTGCTCTACCACTTGAGCTATCGTGACTTCATTTCAGCCAAAACCTTACATAAAAAGATTAATTAATTGAACAAAATAATAACGTGTGTAAGCGCTGAATAAGGATTTTTATTTAGCGCTGTTGAGCTAATCTCGTTTATCTTTTGCGTTATCTTGTAATTAATCCATTTTCTCATGGAACAAACAGTTTGTACAAATAAATTATCTTTCTGTCATGGAGATAATAAATGTAGATTGTACATCGTTCGACGCATCAACAATAATACAGTTCGTCGAACGTAGTGTTGAAAGAGCTGTGGAATAAATCTTTAAAATTCTTCGACAATCTTAACGGGGTTTCGAGTAAATTTGTTTGTACACAAATCAAAAATCGTAGTCGTTGAACTTTTCATTTGAATCCATTGACGTTTCAATTGATTATTCAATTCAATTCTACTGTCATTATTATACTTTATGGTAATATAAAATTACAATTTTTAATAGGCTTATGAAATATGCTGCAGACGTTTAAAGAAATTCGCCTGAGTAAAATTATTTAGCTATTAGGGCTTAAAAATCATAGATTTGAAATAAAGAAAAATATGTTAACGGTTTTTTAAAGAAAATTTATTTGCGTGTAACCGGCCTATTTGTAAAATTTGAAATACGATACATAAAAGTAATCAAATGCTTGTAAATTTAACACTGTACATATTTTTCTGATGTCTGTGCTATTTTGATCGCTGCTTTTTATAACTTGTTGACAAAAAAAAGTTGAAATGTGCCGATTTTTTTTTGGTTTTGAGGGTAGAGTTGACATTAAAAAAAAATAAATAAATAAATGCGATACAAATTTTCTATGCGTTTTGCCAACATGGGCTCGCGGTTCGTAAAGAAAAGTGGAAATTCAATTCTGAAGAGCCGCTATTTTTAACCAGCCAGGGCTATTTCGGACGGAGTAAATAAAACGCTTTTCACCGTGATTCACCAGCCGGGGGCGAAAAAACAATCTTTTCTTATTTTTATTTTGGCTTTTCGATCCGAGCCCGACGAACCGTTTTCGTTATATAACGCTTGGAAAAAAAAAAAAAAAAGGCGAGTTGGTTCCTCTGTGCACAATTGGTCGATTGATGGCCGATTCACTCCCGTGTAAAAATACAGCTCCAAAAGCGCCTCCGTCCCAGTTTCACGTGAAGCGATTTGGTTCCCGACTCTAGAAAAGTGGTACCAAAAACAAAAAAGATCAAAACCACTTCCAATTAAATGGGCTGGGATGGCGCCCTTGACATTTAATTCTTGCCGTTGTAGATATTTCTCAAAATTCAGATTGCAATAAAAAAACTTAACTCGTTCCAATTTACGCAACTGTCAGGGTTTTAAAACCTTATATATATATATGTATATATATTAACTATGTTGGAAAATTCTACGAGATTCAATTACATCATTGCAATTACATTTACTTTCAAAAATTCGAAATAAATAATTGAAAAATGTACCAAGAAAATGCACAAAAATGCATATAAAAGTTGGTTTGTGACTGTTTTTGTTTATTTATATGTCTTTTATTTTCCTGATCTTCTTCTGTTTAATACCAAAATATTTTCCTACAAATCTCTGTTCAATTGAAAATTGAAGCTCTATTTTCTGTAATTTTACATTATAACAATTTGACACAAATTTCGAAGAAAGGTATTAAACAAATAATATAAATCGATGTGTCCATTTATAAATTGTCTTTTTTTTTTGTCTTATTCTATTCCATCTCTAAGCTTGGTATTAAGTTACAACAAACTTTTTTTCTTACGAGTGTATTTCAACTACGAAGTTATTTTAACCCTCAGGGTGCCGATGTTTTTGAAAAAAAAGCCCATTTGTAAGTATGTCGAATTTAGGGTCTTGGATTCGAACCCGGGACCTTTACCTTACTTTGATGAACGCCGTGTCACCGTGGCGGCCACCGACGCCCCATACAAACTTCTAAATTTGCTCAGTATTAATTTAAAGCATAATCTTCTAACTTGAAATTAGGATTATAATTACATAGTTAAATTTATGAACAAAAGTAAATTTGTATATCATATCGTCGACCTGTACAAAGACTTGGGGCACGGGATAGCGGTTTCGGGTACCTCAGAGCTATTTGGATTTTTGAATGTATGTAGTGGTTGTTTTTTTGTTGTCTTTACGTTAATTTATTAGAATGAACGTAATTTACTTTTATGAAAGGAAATGGTTTTTAATTGCACCGCGAGTAACCTGGGGTGAGTGTGACGTCTGGAAAAAGTAATTATAAGCGAGAATAGAGAGGGTTCAACCCCGCCATGGTAAATATCGAGTACCCTGCGGTGTGAATCTGACTAGACTTCTATTTTGTGGTGATTTATATATAATTATGTATTGTGTGTTGTATATCTATAGATGGCAGCCTGAGGTAAAAATGGAGGCTAGTATTTTAGGATATCGACTAGTTCTCATAGAAAAGCAGAGAGTTGAAAACAGATTGCGACACTCCAACGGCTGCAAGGTGCAAAATACGTGAAAGGCAAGAAAAAGGAAGTAAAAACGCGCAAGAGGGCCGGATGACCTCAGCTATTTGTCAGCGCCTGTAAACTTCCCATATTATTATTTAATATTCCAACAAATATAATAGGTTTTACTTATTTCATATTTTAATTTCGATTTGCGCAGGGCTTTATCAATGAAGGAATAGTGTAAGTCTCTATTAGTAGACAGTATGATCTCAGAGTCCGGGGAGGCACCACTAAATCCAGCCCATCCATACACGAACCCCCCGAATAGGTTGGGAAGGAGGTGGTTTGGGATTGGGTGGTTATTCTATAGGTTTATAGGAACAATCAATTACGATGAGGGAAATAGAAAGATTCACAACTGATTGGACACATGGGCGAAACGTTTTTTCCCAGGAGGAAACTTCGGGACCTTTCAGTCTGAAGGAGGATTTCAATCGTTTTATATATGCTTTTATTGAAAGGAGTTTCCTGATCAGGCAACCCATCTAGGCCGCCAGACGAGCTGCCTAAAGTGACAGTAGAGGTTACAGAAAGGTCTTCATCAGGAGTATAGCGGCTTCTCATGCCATTTCGACTGCCTTTTCGTTTTCGACTATGCCAGCGAGGCCAGAAATCCTTTTGAATGATGTTTGACCTTTTTGGACTCGATATTCTTTTAATTAT